GGGATAACTTTTGAAATCGCTTTAGGTTGATTTTTCCGCAAGTCTGTGCAAGCATGTAGTGTTTTCTATGTATAAACATTGATGTATTCTACAGAAAAGAATTGGTAATACTGGAACTGAAAGATTATTTAATAAATTATATTTTTATCAATTACAGAATCTGCTGTATATATATTTATGTGTGGTTTGTTTATATTATTGGGTGAGGTGCATGATATGTATATGACCAAAAGTTTCAACTTCAACAAGCTTCCCTTTTTTTATATAGATCTTGAATAATATCTTGAAATTTAATAGCAATAAATAAAAAGGCTTGTTGAAATCCCTAAATCAGACATTTTCCCTGATATGTTTTTGGAGGAACTGGAATTTTTAAAAGAAATTGTCAAGTGGTTCACAAGACCAGCTTGTCAGTCTTGTGGGCTGCAGCCTACAGACCTTTAAGTCTTAAGAAATGGTAAGTTTACATTAATACCACTTTTGGAGAGAGGGAGAAAAAGAGTCCAAAGAAGAGAAAAGGGGGAAGGAGAGATGGAATAGAAGAGGAAGGGAGAGAAGAGAAAGCGGGATTAGGTAGAAGAGAAAGGGAGGGGATTGCAAAAATAAACCAAAGATAGGAGAGAAAGATCAGAAGGTGAATAGAAAACCATTGTTAGAATGGTGAGTTAACCCTTTACATGCCACACAAATAATCTTCCCATGCCACATAATATCTATCATATACCAAACGCTTCAAAATGAGTGAACTGTTTCAAGTGCAACATTAATCTTTACCGGTGTTAAAAGGAAAAATCATAATTTTTCAAAACCACTGTATTACACAAAGCAATCTTCTTCTTTCCCTCAAAATACACTTGTGGCAAACCAGCGATCATGCAGAGAGGTTAAAAAAGCAACCAAAGTTGAGATTCACGGCCCTGCATGCTTCCAGTGTCTGTGATAAAGTGTAATGTTGAAGCCTTAAAAAAAAAATCACGCCTCAAAAAAGTAAAAATCTTTGAGCAATCGGCTTTACCATACTCGTTTTCCCCAATAGACTGTAGTGTTATGAAAACCATTTCGCAAACGAAAAAAAATTTGGTTTCGATTTCCAATCATAAATATCTTGATAATCAGACAGGCAATTTGTAATGTAAAACTGACTGACCTAAAGGTTTATAATTATCATTGCAGCATGAGCTAAATCCAGGATTTTGTTTCAGAATCTTTTTCCCCTTTTCCCTCTTTTCTATATATTTTTTTTCTTCCTTTTCCCCTTTTCGCACCCTTTCCTCTTTTTCCTTTTTCTCCTTCTTTCTTCTCTTCTAATTCCTTTCTTTTCCTTTTCTTTTTATGCCTCCGCCACCGAAGGTGGTGCCGGAGGCATCATGTTTTCGGGTTGTCCGTCCGTACGTCCGTACGTCCGTACGTCCGTCCGTACGTCCGTCCGTCCGTACGTCCGTCCGTCCGTCCCGTTTGACCGTTATCACAATATCTCAAGAACCATTTAAGATTTAAACTTAAGACTCGGGAATAGTATTTATCACCATAGGAAGACGATCTGATTAGATTTTGGAGTACGTAGGTCAAAGGTCACAGGTCACAGAGGTCAACTTATGAAATTCCTTGTATTGAGTTTGTTAGCGCGATATCTCAAGAACCATTTGAGATTTAAACTTAAAACTTAAGGATAGTATGTATCACCATAGGAAGACGATCTGATTAGATTTTGGAGCACGTATGTCAAAGGTCAAGGGTCACAGGGCTCATTATGTATGCAAAAACAGCTTGTGATCGCGTTATCTGAACAACCGATTGATGGATTCCTGCCAAACTTTGGTCATGTATGTATCTTGCAGAGCTGATGAACTGATTAGATTTTGGGGTCACGAGGTCAAAGGTCACAGGGCTCATTATGTATGCAAAAACAGCTTGTGATCGCGTTATCTGAAGAACCGATTGATGGATTCCTGCCAAACTTTGGTCATGTATGTATCTTGCAAAGCCAATGAACTGATTAGATTTTGGGGTCACGAGGTCAAAGGTCACAGCGCACATTATGTATGCAAAAACAGCTCGTGATCGCGTTATCTGAACAACCGATTGATGGATTCCTGCCAAACTTTGGTCATGTATGTTACTTGCAGAGCTGATGAACTGATTAGATTTTGGGGTCATGAGGTAAAGGTCAAGGTCATGCGGCTCATTATGTATGCAAAAATAGCTTGTGATCGTATAATCATTAGAACAGATTGATGGATTCCTGCCAAACTTAGATCATTTATGTATCTTGCAGAGCCAATGAATGGTTCATAAGATCAAAGGTCATGGGCTCATTATGTATGCAAAAATAGCTTGTGGACGCATTCTCATTAGAACTGACAGATGGATTACTATTTAACTCAGGAAATCTTGCAGAGCCAATGAACTGAGTAGATTTTAGGGTCATGAGGTCAAAGATCAAAGGGTCATATATGTTTATGAGAAATTGCTTGTAATCACGATATTCTGAGAACATGTTAATGGATTACAATTGAACTTGAATTTGAAAAATTTCTTCCGTTTCGGTTTGTAAAATTGCTCTATGACGGAGGCATCATTTTCGACTGCGCGCAGTCGAATTCCATCTAGTTTTCCTTTGCTTTCCCTTTTTCCACGACGGTAGCTTAATGTTACCGATACTGTCCTGATAGGTGGGGTGTCGACCCCGTACCCACCCCCTTAAGTGCCGCCTCTGCAAGCATGTCGGGGAAGGGGGGCACAGTGCTCCCCCACTTTTTCAGATACCCAAAAGTGCCTCTTTAACTTTGTAAGAAGTGCTTCTTTTTACATAGAAAATGTGCCCCTTTTATTTTTGACAAGTACCCGTATTGATTTTTAAAAGTGCTCCTTCCCCTTTCCACTTCTGATAAGTACCCTTTTATTTTGACCCGTACCCCTTTTCCTTTGCAATCAGTGTCCATTTTTCCATTCCCATTAGTGCCTCTAGTAAGTTCCCCTTTACAGGTACGAGAAGCGCCCTTTTTCACTCTTGATAAGCGCCCCTTCACCTCTGATAATTGCCGTATTAAAATCTGAGACATTCCCCTTTTCCTTTGTAAAAAGTGCCCCTTCCCCCTTTTAATAACTACCCCTTTTTAACTTGGATAAGCACACCTTATATTTTCACATGTGCCCCTTTCCTTTTTAATAAGTGTCCCTTTTCATAATGATAAGTGCACCCATTTAAAAAAGAACCCCTTTCCCTTCTTATAAATGCCCCTTTTCATCTATGAAAATAGTTACTTTTCATTAATATAAGTACCCCTTTTCATCTCTTGTAAATGACCCTATTCAATTCTGAGAGATACTCGGTTTACTTTGACAAGTGCCCCTTCCCTTCCTGATAAGTGTTCTTTTCATTTTTTATAAATGCCCCATTTATTTTGACACGTCCCCCTTGTCCTTCCTAATAAATGCATTTTATCCTTCTTATAAGTGCCCCTTCCCCTTCTCATAATTACCCCTTTTCATCTTTGATTAGTGCCCCGTTTATTTTAACATGTGCCTCTTTTTCTTTTTAATGAGAGCCATTTCCCCCCTTCTAATAAAAGCCCCCTTTTACCTCCGATAAATGCCCCTATTAAAATCTGATCGGTGCCCCTTTTCTTTCAACAAATGCACATTTCCCTTTATCATTAGTGCCCTTTTTCATTCTCATAATTGCCTCTCTTCATGTATGGTCAGTGCCCCTTTTCAGATGCGATAAGTGCCCCCTTTCACCTTTGATAGTTACCCTTTTAACAATGATGTGTGCCCCTTTTTCCTTTCTAATGAGTAATCTATTCCTTTTTGTTAAATGCCCCTTTTCACTTCTTATAAATATCCCTATCAAAACCTGATGGGTGCCTTGATCTTTTCCGTCGACAAATGCCCATTTCCCATTCTCATAAAATCTCTCTTCATCTCTGGTGGTTGCCTCTTTTTTTAGGTGTAAGAAGAGATGTGGTGTTTAAATAAAACAATTGGGATTTGGGTATTAATTTGGTCATTGCACATCCAAATATAAGTGCCCCATTTTTACCTCTGATAGTTAGCCTTTGTGCTTTGACACATGCCCCTTTTCTAATAAGAGTCTTAACCCTTTTAATAAAAGAGCTCCCTTTTTAAACCTAAACGTGCCCCAAATTTCAAGCGACTAGCAATTCCCCCCAAAGCTCGCTCGCCGTGCTCGCTCGTAGTTATGGATGTTATAATTATGTAACTTATCAAAGGTCTTTTCAGTCTTTCGTTATGAGAATGTGCTTATAACCCCATCAGGATTGGATATTTCCTCTTTGTAAGATGTAATTTTTTCGCACTGCATGCGACCTCACAAATCTTAAAAATTTCCCTCGCTCTCAAACGGGTCTGATGGTCTGAAAAGATAGCTATGTTGCTTCCAGGTTGATATCTGCATTATATGACATGATATCACGTGCAGTTGATTTTGAATGAAGAAAAGGTGGGCGTTATAGGACTCCGTCTTAAATTAGAGCCCGTGAAGACAAATAAATACATGTAAATTCTTATTCACATATTTGAGAACAATTATTGTAGATATAAGAAGCGACAATAAGTTCCAGGTACTTTTTTTCAAGCAAGTATTAAATGTAAATGTAAACTGTACACAAATCCAATCATGGAAGAAAATTATTTAAAATGATTATATTAAAAAGTGGAAATTATTATTTGTCTATAATGGATATCATGAAATCATTATCACATATGATGGATATCGTGAAATAAATATTTACAAATACTTTGACACTCTTAATTGTATTGTACCGGTATATAAATAATTATTAGATTAGATTAGTAGATCTAAGGTAAATAATGAATTATACCTCTATATAAATAATTAGTGTAAACAATAATTCTACAACGGCGTCTCATAGTCGCTAGCTCTAAACAAACAAGGAGAAATGAAAATGCATGCGTAGGCTATAGGCTAAGCTGCGCATGCATATCGCATGAGCGCTCATGCTCGATTCGATTGTGTGACGTTTTGAAAACATATTTTGAAACCGCGGTGCGAGGCACGAACGCCTGATTTTAACGCTAAAATTCCTCGCTTTAATGAGCTATTTTAAGAGTCGTTAGATGACCACGTCACTCAATCTGGGCTAAATCTGTAACAAGCCGTGTATAGAAACAGCAGTGGTGATATTTTAGGCAGTGTAACAGCATCGTTATTTCAAATTGTTCGTGCTCTGAAAGTACTGCTTCCTGCCTTCGTATCGGCTCTGTGCAGGACAGCGTCTTGATGTCTCCCCGGCCGCGTCACTCCCCGGTCTGCGGTTCCCGAGGGTCTTTCCTCCTTCGGCGGTGAGGAAAACGAGCATGCAGCATGTAGGCCTACATTTATGTACAGGCACACACAACAAGTACAGCAGCATGTCGGGGGTTCTCAATCAACTTTCCGAACATGTGCTCGCTTGTTTATGAGCATGCAAGAATGAGGTGACTATATTTTGGGGGACTTGAGGTCATAGGATTAGGTCATAAATGTGTTCAAAATTAAAGAATTCGGCCTAGATTCTAGATTAAAGAGAAGGTTGAGTTCTAGGAAGAGGTGAAAAATAATTTGTGATAGACTAGCTGAACTTAGCCTTAAGCCTTAAGGGCTCCCTCAAAATGTTTTTATGATATTATTCGAGGGAGCCTTAAAACGGCACCCATAGGGTCCCACGGAGAGGTAGGTAAACAACAACAACTAAAATGTGTCCAAAATCACACTTTGCCGCACCAGACCATAGGACAGTGGCTTTGATAAATTTTGTTGTAATTGTAGTCCTAATTACCTCAGGAATTAAAAAATCGGAGGTAAAAATAATGAAATAAAAGCAATTTTCTTACCAGACCGATGCAGCTCAGCTCCCTTTTCATGTGTACCGTGTGAATTCACGATCTACACAATGGTGATGACCTCTGACTGGCACTTCGTAAATGTGCTGCTTCCGTATAATGCGCTGAATAACACTCATACAGCGCATTATACGGAAGCAGCACAATCACGGAAGTGCCAGTCAGAGGTCATCACCATTGTGTAGACTATAGAGATCGTGAATTCACACGGTACACATGAAAAGGGAGCTGAGCTGTATCGGTCTGGTAAGAAAATTGCTTTTATTTCATTATTTTTACCTCCGGTTTTTTAATTCCGGAGGTAATTAGGACTACAATTACAACAAAATTTATCAAAGCCACTGTCCAATATTGGTCTGGTGCGGCAAAGTGTGATTTTGGACACATTTTAGTTGTTGTTTACCTACCTCTCCGTGGGACCCTATGGGTGCCGTTTAAGGCTCCCTCGAATAATATCATAAAAACCATTTCGAGGGAGCCCTTAACTTAGGCTAAGCTGAACTAGCGCCCATTTTGGATGACCCGGCATGCGCATGGAAGTAATGCTTTATCTGTAATTATTCTCATTTAGCAAAATGTCTTCTTTTGTAAAATTAAAACCTTGCCCTCAAGTTTGAAAATTTCATATTTGATTTCTTGCCCTGTTTTTGCCCCAATTACCTGTGCTTTCGACAGCATCGACAGTGTAATTTCAATGGGAACATTGATATAATCTTTGCATCACCCACAGAGCAAAGTGATGAACCTACAAGACAAGATGAGAAACTTCTTGGACCTCACGACTCTCTGCTATTGCCATACTTTTGAGGACACAGGAGGAAATTCTCTGGTTCAAGGAAGGCATGGTGCTGGCTGAGCTGGGACTCGATCATCGTGTGGAGAAAGAGATGTCTTGCGTTTCTCATTACAGATCCACAGGTATGTTTTCTGGATATTGTATATTGATTTTTCATAATTATTGATTTTCATATAAATAGTTTATCAAGATTAATATTTTTCATGATTTAATTGAAATTTTTTACTCTATATTAGTGCATCCACACAACTATTATCATTCTAACTTGGATGCTGGTGTGATTCTTAGGGGGAAAATAGGAAATTTATATTATCAATACAAAGAGCACAATTCGTGGATAGTGAGGCCATGACGTCACAGACTCGTGAGTGAGTTGCCAATTTGTCTTGTGATTTACTGATTTTCAAAGTTTTCATGTCATAACTTTCTTATTAACCGATTTTGCTCGAACTTTTTTTTGATTGGTTTGTCTTCTACTTTTATTGAGAGTAAGTTATTTTTGGAGTGGACTTGCCCTTTAAAGATCTTTGGATGAAGCAATGTTTCTCAATTTATTATCTGTTTACGATATTCCTAGATGCACTACATTAATCGCCTCACTGGAAAGTTTTGGAGTTAACGTCCTTCTGGCTCTCAATAATCGGCAGACCACAAGTTGTTATGTGTTAGATGATATTCATACTGCTAGGGGATGCCCCAAACGGGCGGATCCAGCCAGCGGCAGGGGACAGGGCCCAATTTGTGAGAAAATATTTAGCTGCGAAACAGCCGGCCGATAATTCGCTAAGGGGGGGGGGGGGGAGTTAGTGAGCACTAATTTAAAAAAAAAAATTTGCTCCCAAAAATATTTGAAAATGGCGCTAGCCCATACCCCTTGAGTGCCAGGGGAGGGGGCCCATCTCCAAATTAATGTGTATTTACACGTTTTTTTTTCCCCCAGGGGAGTGCCCCCCCCCCCCCCCCCCCTGGATCCCCCACTGGCCCCAAATACAGTCAGCAACCACCAGATGGGTAACCACAGACATGCTGAAAAACAATTCATGAATATTTACAAATCAAATTTGTTTATGGATCTAACTCCGTGCATTTTGCCTTTTCTTTCCACAGATTCTGTAGTGGAGAAGTCCAAAGAGAGCACTCACTCCTAGGCATGCCTGCATCATTCAGAGTCCTGAATCTATACAATACATGTACAAGAGCTCTCTGATCTCTAATGCACTGTCCTCATGGATACTCCAGCAAACCCTTGTTATGCACATATCTTTGTTGTAAGTTTTTTATGAAATATTTCAGGATTCAACTTCGGTGCTCAATATTTTTTTTTCTTCTTCAAAATAGAATATTAAATGGCCTTGAGTAGGATTCAAGGGAACTGAGGAGAAGAGATGTGATGGTGGTTGTTTTACCTGGCTACTAAGAAAGCATGAAATACTTGTGAGTTAGCAACCAGGCGGCCGACGGCTTTAGGTCCTCTCCGAGGCACCTGGTAATGAGGATTAATGCCTTACCAAAGGGCATTAGCGCATCGACTTGGTTTCCAACCCGGTTAGCACTATGAGTGCAATATTTTCAAAGCAAGTGTGATATATCCTTTTTGTCCAAAGAAAGAAAAGCCATTCAATATTATTACAGTAAACTCTGCAAATCTGTTGGAGCCACATCAAGTAGCTTGACTTAGAAAGAGTGAAAGAGAAGTCCACCCTGATATTAAGTTGGTTTCAGTAGAAGCAGAACATTTTTCAATCATACATTCACCCTAAAGTTGAGTTCAGTACCATGCTTCTTTAAATTTTGCTTATGAATTCTTAAATTTTTGTTGTACATTACTGAGCAAACTAGCGTTGGCTCTATTCTTTTGGATGTCTCAACATCTTGAAAGACAGTAGCCACAATACAAGAGATACTGCATGATAAAACAGTTTCATTACTATTTTGTTGGCCTTGAGTTACCCATTTTTCCATACGTTCATTTTGCTTTCACAATACCTACAGTTATCTGAACATCATGATTTTGAAGAGCAGTGCATCCCCCGTCACTCCTTGCATCGCTTCAAGAATGAGAATCACAAATATTCAAGGGATGCAGAGAACATTGGCAATGGCAGCAGGGCAGAGCATCAAGCGTCACTCCTCACATCTTTTCCAGAATGAGGGTCACAAGTATTCAAGGTCTGCAGCGAACATCAGCAATGGAAGCAGGGCAGAGCATCCATCGTCACTCAAGCATTGTTTCCAGAATGAAGATCACAAGAGGTTTGGCTGTCTTGATTTTGTCAAGGCCATGACTGATGGTTGCCAAGTTGGTTCGATGAGTCTGTGACTGCATTTAAAAACCTTTTGTAGAAACCTTTGCTTTGTTTTGTATGGTGTGACTGCTCGATTTGTTTAGATTTGGTGGTATGATTTCATGTTTTCTGATCTTTCTAGGTACAAATGGTATGTTTTAATACATCGTAGGAGCACTTGTCATAAAATCAAGAAGAGCAAAAATATTCTTGTGAGATATTGGATACACCCAGGAGTGCTAACAGTATTGCCCCCATTCCTCACTCCTTCCAAAATTACCCCCAACCTCCCTAAAAAAGAGAAAAGAAAAATGGGGGAAAATATGATAATGATATTAATGAAATTTAACTGTAATTTCTACAAAAATGTAGTTATATCAAAAAGATGAATAGTTTCACCATCTGTGGATTATACCTACCTGTTACAAGTCCTGAAAAGGTTTAATTTATTGTGATTCTGGTTTGTGTGTTGAACGTCTTGGTATGATTCCAGTTTGTTTGTGTATGACCATGTGATATGATCTGATTACGTGTGTGTGTATGTGTGTTGTGTTTTTACAGACGTGTGTCAATCAGATATGATTATTTACGTCTGGGAACCGACCTTTAAACGTCACCATCCGAAAGACATAATAATTACTAAATAATTACCAGCTAGCCTTACTCAAAGCCTAAACCTATTAAAATAGATCTAAATGGACAAGCAAATTTCTGCTGTTTTTTTAAACCTAGTTGCAAAAAAAATAGATGTTCTGCAGACATATTAGGATGTTTCCTAAACATACAATTTGATATTGCAAAATATTTAGCTCTTGATATATTCCAATGATAGGTCTTTGGTAAGTGAGCACTCTAGATTATGCTGCTTGCATTTTAGAAAGAAAAGAAAGGTCTCTAATAGAGTCTAGATACTATTTCTAATGTAGGTCTAAAAGTACAAAATTACAGAATTCTGATCAACCCGCTCATATAACATGGTGGTGGGGGGGGGGGGTGGGAGATGATAACATCACAGGATTAGCGATAAGTAAACAGTCGATCACAGGCCCTGGCCGGTGTCTGTTATCTGCCATACCCTTGAGATCCCGGACGTGACTGGCGCAAATGTCAAACGTATCGTACCGGCCAGGGCCGTACTAGTACTAGTTTCTGGATCTTCTTTTTTGCTTTAGAGTTCTGAAAAAGAAAAAGAGATAGGTTCTTTATAGATTAATGTGAAGGAAAATAGCACAGCATTCAGGTTCTCCTTAATGAGGGTCCCCTGACATTGAAATATAAATCATCATCCTTAATTTTTTCAAGGTGGTTATTCTTTAATACGGATGTTATGCATTTTCTTCATAAGAATTTGATGTTTGACAGTGTTGAATGCTTTTCTTAGGTCGATAAATACAGTACCTGTGTATTAGGAATCGTCCATGACCTGAGGCCAATCATCTGTGACCTTTATAAGGGTAGATGTTGTTGAATGCTTAGGTCTGAATCCAGACTGCTCTCTATATAAATATCATTTTTATGCAAACTACTCTATAAACTGGTGTTGCACAACTCATTCTAACATCTTTGACACACAGGGAAATATCAGAGTTTGCCTGTAATTACCAAAGAAAGAACATTCATTGGCCAAACAGGGCCAATAATGAATTTGGTATATTTCACAATAATCATGTCACCTTTAAGTTGAGGTATCATATCGTGTTCATCTGTATCCAAGTCAGATCCAATTGCAGTAACTGAACCAAAAGAAAGATAGGAAAAGTGATAACGTAAACCAAAAAAAAAATCGTATTATAGATGGTGTCTTATTCTGAAGGGGTCGTTTTGAACCACTTGTCTCCCATCACGACTTACATCTCCGCCTGTCAAATTTCGCATCACCACGTCTCCTTTCTGGAGCATCTTTGTTAATATGGAGAGACAGTGTTCTCTTTGTCTCCATTGGCGTTGTGTCAGTTTCCTGCAGTACAGCCATGGCATCTTTGCCATAGCCATCCCACCTGTTTTTGACCACTTTGGACCACTTCACTCCCATCACGGCTTACGTCTCTGCCTATCAAACTTAGCATCACCATTTCTCTGAATTGCTGAATTCCAATCAACCTGCTCATATAACATTGTGGGGGGGGGGGGGGAGGGAGGAGATGACAAATCACCATTCCTAATTATTTCAAGGTCGTTATTACGTGGTTATGTCGGTAAATCACCCTCAGCCACCTTGCATTTCTTTGCTGCACCAAGTTATTTTATTTTCTACCAACTAGATATGCTCAATTTTTATCAAACTAACCTTTATGCTCCTTGTGTTGCGGTTAAAGCCAGAGTTCTCCAGATTGTTTCAAGTAGTTTTAAGGAGATGAGGCACATCACTGAAGAGGTAGATAGGTTTCCCAGTGAATGGATTGGTGAAGGTATGTCGCTCAGGACTGGATGTAGTCAGCAGCTTGAATAAGCCCCTGTTTGATGCCGCTCCATCACAGACGAGTCCTCAAACAGAAAACCCACAGGTTTCCAGATGTTCGGTTCCCTCCATAATTACGTGGTACTACTGGTCTGTTGTGGCTCCTCCAGTTGCAAAATACGCCACTGCTCTGCAAAACGACGTACAGATTCCCCTTGCCATCAAAACAAGTGTATGTGATGCCATCTGCGGGTCTTCGCCTTCACATTTCCTGGCAAATGCTGCCATCGCATCGTTTACTGAGCTCAGACTGGTAAAGCCAATAATGTGTCCCGTTTGGTGTGAATAAACTAGTCCTTGAAATAACTTCATTTCGTTGAATGCTAGCATAATGTTACGTTCAATCTCTCCAAGTCCTTTCAATTTGATATCTTGGCAAACGCGTGCCAAGAACTCTTTGTTAAACCCTGTCTCACTCGCAGTAAAAATCCAGATGTTCTTAATAATTCGTAGGCTGCAGGCGTCTTGGCAGAAAGAGCTTTATACAACCTGATTATGGCCAGATGCCACCTCCTTTCTTCGCGAGTACACGAACCATCGCTTCCTGGTCAGGTCAATGTATATGGTACAGCATCTAGAACTAAAGAAAAATATTAAAATATTTTTGTTCATGAACATGTTCCAAAGTATTAACATCAATGCCCCATCTGTTCAAATAGTTGTTTGTCCACCATTTCTTTCGAAATACATTCATGGAAGAAGCGTCTGCTTCTCTCGACTAGCTCATTCCATCTGTCCTCGTCGAAATTTACTTTGATGGTCACATGGCCCTGGTGGGTATACACAAAGAATTGGCACCATCTTGTGCCTCTCACGTCCATCTGGTGATTTACCTTGCTATAGTATGGGTGAGATTTTTTCAGTTCCAAGTCACCAGTTCCGTCTCTAGAAGGCAGGAATTCTGGTTGTCCTTGGACGGTTCTGAGTCGGCGATGCTGTGTGGGCACTTGATTTCCAGAACCCCGGTGTCGCAACAAGAGTATTTGATAATGCCATCTGGGCTTGCTCCAAGAAAAAATTTGTCACCTACCACAAAGAGTCCACAATCCTTAACTTCAAAGTGTTGATGAAGACAAAAACATGATGCTATAAAATACAATGTTTCAAAGGTTAAACGTTCAACACTTCTGCAGCATGGTTTGCTTCACCACGCTTCACTTTCACGCTCTGTGGCAGCACAGTGAAATCGACATCTGTCTCGGTTTCCTCTCCCTCACAAATCCTGTGCCATTTCGACCGGTGGCAAGTCTTGGAGTGGCTCGGGATCAGTCGATGGCAAGGCTTGGAGTGGCCTGGGTTCGACCGGTGGCAAGGCTCGGGAGTGGCTCGGGATCAGCCGGTGGCAAGTCTTGGAGTGGCTCGAACATTTGATTTTAAGACCACTGGTGTCCCAACAAGAGCATTTGATGATGCCATCTGGGCTTGCCCCAAGAAAAACTTTGTCACCTACCACAAAGAGTCCACAATCCTTAACCGCAAAGTGTTGATGACCTATTTTGTGTTCCCGCACGTAGGCACTCCTTGCTTCCTCCTCCATCTCACGATCGTACTTCAAGGCTTGCAATGAAGAGTCTACATCTTCGTACCCCAAGATCCTCGTCAAAAGTGAGGCAGTGTTCACTTCTCCCCCCTTTTTTTCTTTTGACCGCTGCTTTGTCATAACAGCATGGGCCACTGACCCAGTCACCCTCCCCCTGCAATGCTTCATCCACTCCTCATTATTGGCTTGACCACGAGTTGCCTCCTCCAGGTGACGTGCTTCTTCACCGGAGCATCTTGGCAGGGTGGCAATAACTCTTGTAGAGAGCCAGCATTACTAGCCAATCAAGGCAGGGGCAGAGGGGCACTCTTTGCTACCGCGCCCTCTTCGTGGTCAACATTCACATCTGTGTAAATATCAGCATGACTCTGTTGAACTGTTGTGGATGACTGCATGTTGAAGCACTGGAACATAGCTTCATCTTCAAAGTGCGGGAAGAGTGTTTGTGTAAGTGTAGTCACTGATGTTGGGTTACTGGTTGACCTGGCACCAAGTAGAGAAAGTAACTGTTGGGTTGATGCCTGCTTTTCAATCAAGTAGAGAAAGAATTAGTTGCATAAATTGGCCCATACTGAGACCCCAATTCGTACATCCGGATTCTTTTCCTTGCTCAATGAACGACTACTTGTCCCAAAGTCAAGCTTCCAATATATTCAAATATATATTTATATACCTGTGTTTTTTCTTTCTAATATACATCTACACGAGCAGAAGTAAATAATTCCTTACCTTCACACCATATCAGCATACGAGTAGGCCAACATTTTGGGGCACCAATAGAGATGTATGTGGGACAGCTTCTTCACATCATTTTTCAGCCTCGTCTTTGTCAACTCCTCAGAAATCTTCTCGAAAGCCTTGGTCCCTAAAATTCAAATGAAGAAATAACTTGCCATTAGACAGTGAATAAGAAAAAAGGAACATAACTTTTTTTTATAATGTTTTAAATCACATGGTTGATACCATCTCTGCGATTAATTCAGCTCTACAAAACACTTTTTTTATATCCAATACCATCAAGCTCTTACCATGCTTCACCCACTCTCGTTGTGAGTACTGCTCTCCATGAGCACACTTTAAGTAGGTGTCCCCATGGCCCTCGTGGATGTTTCGCATGTGATTGAGAAGTGATGCGAACTTGGCTTGCATTATGGCTCCATCACCGTCACGTGTGGATGCGGCGCACCAGTAGAGATGGTTGTTGATGGACCTCTTCCATCTGCCAACAATTTCGCAGTCATGCAGCTTCGACAAAGCATTGATCTTCTTCTTGAGTCCTGTAATTTCATATTGACAAGTGAAGTGTGTGTGGGAGAGGGTGGGGATTATAATGTATCATTAAATACCAGTAGCATAAAAAAAGGAAACACAGGGATACTGTGAAAGATTACCTTTCAATTTTTCTCCAAGCAGGATAGGATTAGGAACTGTATACTACCCCATAAGACTACACAATCACATGTCTATAAACCTATCATTTCTAGTAAGTACAAACATTTTGAGAGAATCCCTTTTTTTTGTTTCAACCCAGGCATTGTCTCCTCTCTAATCAGGGTTGTTCAAGAAATTTTCATGAATTAATTCAGTAAATATATAAAACACATCAGACTAACCTTTAGCAATGTGCCAAATATCAAATCTATGGTCAATGTCTGGGTAGTTTTTTCTCAGCCACTTGGCAGTTTGTAGATGCCGATCTGTCACCAGAGTCCCTACAGTCACTTCTTTCTCATCCAAACTAGCCAGTGCCCTGGAAAGTCCTTCTTTTTCCATGGCATTGCTCCTTGATACTTTGTTGCTCTGAAGAAAGAAAGGGATACAAATGTTCAAATTGAATAATAATATTAATGAAACAATAATGATACAAAGATAAATTTGCTGGCCCCTCAAAGATTCACCCCCCCCCCCCCCCCCCCGGTAATTACTGTCTGATGCTTATAGCAATAAACGTCACAAATTTAATATCAATGGAATCTGTTTTTCTCATGTGCTCCCTTGGTTTTTTTCCTTTCATATATATTATTTCTATTCGGTAAATCTATTAATGAAAGATTCATGGTGTTAACTTTCTCTTACCTGGACCAGTTGGACTAAAATGATCGTGTGTCTTCTCATGTCCATTAGGGTGTAAAGTCCAAATTTGGCGCAATGGCCAGGGGAGTCCGCCCGTCTGTTGCCACCAAGGACTAACTTCTCCCCCTCTCCAATCTGGCCAATAATGACGCTCTGCTCTGCCTTTGCCACTCAGATTATTGCAGGCTGGAGATACTCCCGCTGATGCTGCAGAAACGTCTGCTCGCTAATGACCTTCAAGTTCATGTGCCGAAGACAAGGAAGAATCTTGGTTGGGCTTCCTCCCCCAAATAGAATGCCAGCAGAGAGCAGGAGGTTCCCGGCCATCACCTTGCCGATTTTTGGTTGGCTGTACCAGTTCCTTACATGGCCGCAGCTGATGCATGTTGTCATGACCTAGGGTTGGGAGCCGTATGATTTCCACCATGCCATCAAGGACTAACTTCTCCCTCTCTCCAATCTCATTTTGGTTTTCTTTCTCTAGACAATTGTCAGTAAATAATGAATCACAAAACGATGGCAGACAACATGTTAAACAATTCCACTTCTCATCAGGGCACTCATGATATAACCTATGGTACTCTGAAAAACTTGTAGCTCAACAATCGGTGTGAAACCGTCTTTCACAATCAGAACACAGAAGGCCTTGTTGATTACATTTGACTAGCTTATCACAGTTTCCACACTGGAACTTATATTTCCGACCGTCCACTATCTTTTTCGGATCATCACTTGATTTTGTCAGACTTTCCCTTAATTCATTACCCTTCTTACAAATTGAAGATATTTCTTTTGAGACGAGCGGTAAATGTTGCCTTTAAAGGTACTATGTCCCATTTGCAGGCCAAAAAAATTAAAAAGTTAAATTCCAACTGCATTTGAAAGATAATACTAATTTAGAACTTCCCTAAAAAAGGTGGGGCTTAAAAATGTCTTCAAGTGGGAAAATAACGATTATTAGTTGTCAAATCGACTTTAGGGCTATAGAGCCCAAAAGTAATAGTCTTGATTTTCAGACAATTGTACCGAATGGTCATACGTTTTATGCTGCGCAAAGATTCAATCAGTTTAATCTTGGCCATCACAAGAAGTGGGTTACTGATGTAGACAAATGCTTGTGTACCTTTTACAACTCTTTTCATGTATGTTATTACCAAAGAAGATAAAAAGCCAGTCAGTCACTCAATAGTGTCTGACAGTGAAGTCTAGCAAGTAAACGGGTTTCCTTGCATAATTTGAATATGAGGACACTGCTAACGTTTAAATTTCACAGATAGGACATACATGACATATTCATAATTCCTGCAAAGTTCTACAGCATTTGAGGTTGGCTGCAAAAGGGACATAGTACATTACCTTTAAGCCGTTTTTGTCAAGACCTCAGTTAGAATAGTCTGCGTAAATTAGGAGTTGCCCAACAACCTGTTTTTTATGCGCCTATAATAACAATTTTCGAAGTTTTATCGTTAGAAAATGAATATTTTCCTTGTTTAACAGCAAAAACTCAGAGCAACCAAAAAACATGTCTGCTTACTACTAGGTCTACCTAACAATAGCCTCTTCATTCAGGGCACTAGGCTGTTCCATTGACTTGAAGGAAAAAATATATGTTTTTGCCATTTTTGTTTCAACTTCTCTTCTATCGGCATGAGGTTCTGATTTATGAAGTTCCTGTAGTTCCTCTTTGATTTTCATTTGTGACTCCTCAGTCGCCCCCTCTGGTAGCGATAGTTGTTGGTAATTAAGACATCCATACGAATCTCGCTTTTGGTTTGAAGCTGTTGAGCCAAGCACTGTCAGCTTTGCTCTTCAGTTCATCGCATCCATGTCTCGGACGTGACACATTGTCCACTCTGTTGAGAAACTGAGAGATGACTTGTACAGGTCAGCTATAACTATGCGCACCATTTCTTTTCTAATCCATATTTCACGTATCGGGGCAGCGAGTTTGACTTCCTCTGATGAGATGAGGTCAAGTGGACCGGATCTTCTCCAATGCGATGTAGCAATTAAAGACTTTGTGACTTTTCATGTCCCATTCATACACTTGTAGGATATGCTGCCTTGACACATCCAGACCACAGAACTAGCACTTTCTCTAGAAAATTACATGTGTCGTGCATGCCAGATATACAAAACAAGTTTGAATTTGGTTATAAAAACTTGAAAATTGTAATATGGTAGATAAACAGGAAATTACAAACACCCTTATGGCTAAAATTGTAATTAAAAAAAGACATACAACATTCACAACCCAGGATCGGGCATGCTGTATGTTGAACAGTGCTGCTTGATGGCTGATGATGAATGAAAGCTGGGTTTGCATGTAATACATGATCCGGTAATATGAATTCAGGATTACGAGGACAGATATATGTTGATGAAGGCTAGTAATTAAAAAAGGGAATGATTCAACATCAAGGTGAATTTCCGGGAATTTGTCATTCATATCACCATCCTCTTTTTCAAATATTGCTGCAAAAGCAGCACTCTGTCTCCCCAATGTCAACAACCTCCTGCTCAAACACGGACACCATGTTGACAAAAAAACAAACAACAAAATCAATTTCGGTTTATTAATATCAACATAAACAATGTACAGTGCAGTAGTCCAGGGACCAATAATGCAATGTTTATATGAAATGTGCATAAAACCAGATATATAGTTGATTAAGGCTAGTAATTAAAATTGACGACCACTGCTCCCTCTGTCACCGTCGGCACCCATCATGTTTGTAGTTGGTTTTTGGAGCTGGCGAAGAATAAAAACTAGCACTTTTTCTAGAAAATTACCTTCAACAAAGCATTGCATAACTTTGAATCCTGAGCATTACACATAATTTCTATGACTTTGTCAACTCCTTTATTTATGGCGGAAAGCCACACAAATTTCACCTCTTCTCCATACTGCCTCCATTCACAGTATTTGTCCTTGTTGTTTTGATTAGGTGGGGGACATGGCAGAACAGATACACTATCTCATCATTGAATGGATTGGTAACACAGTGATCATGAGGACTTGAACCTGAGAGCAACCTGTAAAGGCCACGGTTAGCTGAAGCTCCACCACTGACCAAAGCCGCAGAGTCCAAGGTACTCAAGTGCCTCCATTGTGATTGCATATAATTGGTTCCCGGTAACTCCATGTGTTGAGAAATATGCTACTGGTTTCCTATATGATGGTACTTACTGGTTGTGTGGAGTTCCTTGGCCAGCTGGTCCAGGAGTTTATCCTTCTGTTGCTGGTTCTGGTATTGTGGGTGCGACTTATCGAAGAAGACCGGGTTGACCAAGAAGAACTCAACCAGAGAACGAGCAGTTGGTTTTTTTCCTTTGTCCCTTCTTCATGTGACCCCTTCTCCGATCCACCAGCTGTATGCTGAGCATATAGCCCGCACCATGAGATCCAGAACATGAGAAGCCATCTTAATGTCATCTCTGTCTCCACAGGCAAACTCTTCACACTCTGTATTCACGGTACCCAGCCTGGTAAATCCAGTAATATCACCTGTGGAGTGTGAATATACCAGACCCTGGGATACCTTCATCTCGTCAAAGGCAAGAGTTACTTTTCTCTGTGTTTCCCCAAGAGACTTAAGGTTCATGTCGTCGCACACTCTTTCAATTTAAATTCTTTGTTGAATCCTGGTTTGTGGGTCGTGAAGTGGGTGTAGCAGCGTAATGTGCGCTGGGTAGAGAAAGTTAAAAATCCAGATGTACGTAC